TGTTTTTTTTTTTCCGTTTTTTTTTTGGGGGCTAAAATCGCCTGGAATCACGTTTTCTGGACTATGGGCAAGGTAGCGGTTTCGCGTGAGACGTCTGTAGTTTCACATACTATCGCATTCCAGGCCATTTTGGCCAAAAATGACCAAAAATTAAAAAAAAGCTCAGCAGGGTGAAATGTGATAATTTTCTGGTATATGATGGAAAAAACTGGTGTTGGATCCATGGGGAAGGTCGAAGGGGGCCACGCATACTGTTTTATTTTCGCATTCCAGAAAATTAGCGCACTCCAGGGGTGGCATCGTACTCTATCGGTGGAATTATTTTGCACGGAAGAAAACAGGATCGTCGATGATTTGTGTTCCCAGATCCTGTTGTGCAGAGCTCTTTGCGGGGCCACAAAGATGTCAAGAAAGATGGGGATGGCGCTGCTGATGAAAGGCCAGCCAAGCGTGCCAGAACATAAGCTTAAAGCTTATGAATTGGGTTTTGAGATCTTGAAAAGTGTAGATGACAAATTCCCATAAGAACATTATTAATCCATTTTTGGAAAGCTCAACATTATTAATTATGACATTTCCAGAAATTGTTGAAAGTAAGGATCTTCTTTGGGGAAGAACATGTGCAGTCGACAACGTACGTGCCAGAAGAAAAGGAGTACTTGGCAAACTGTATGAAATACAAATTTCACCTGAAAGGGGTCTTCGCAATTCCCTGAAATTTCCCAGCTATTTTGGCATGGAATATGTTCGGCCCTGGAATATGGGCAAGAAATTGCTAGAATTATTTTGTCATCCAACTATAGTTCTTTCATCATCATTGGATCCTAGTTATTGGGGATAAATATCTATATATATATATATTTTTTTTCCGTAAATATCCCATTATATTTCCAATAAATAATATTTTCTGTTGATTAAATCGTCATCCTCCAAAGCGAAAGTATGTTGCTTGTCATGAAACTTTAGCCATTTAGTTACTTCATCACCATAGACCTTAGCTATTCAGAAGCCATAAACCAACTATAATCCACTTCTGGGAAGAACAAAGGTAAAAGATCCTCCAATTATAACGGAACCATAAGATAAAATAATTGTAGACCCAGTTATCCAAACTTTATAATATAGCCAACTAATAGCTGGTTGGTGGTTTCAACCATCTTGGAAAATATTAGTCAATGGGAAGGATTATCCCATATATTATGGAAAGTCATAAAACTCATGTTCCAAACCACCAACCAGAATATACCCTCTGGTAATTTAACATAACTATGGAAAATTACCATAGAAATAGTGAATTGTCCCATGACAAATGGTGGATCTTTCCATAGTTATGCTGGTTTACCAGAGGGTAGTCTTCTTTGATCCTGTGGCAAGACTACCATGGCACCAGCTGCACAAAGTTCTGGGATCCAACGATTTTCCTGCAACCGAAGATCCGACCCTTTTCCGCCGACCCTTGCGCCGACCAGCAACCAACCAAGATCCACCATCCGAAAAGGAACTGAAGAGTTTGTAGATAAACAATACATATAGTTATATATATATATTTATCCATACATAGTTTACTTAATATATCCCAACATCAAAAAAATGGCTGTTCATAGCCACACGCGGGATAATTAAAAAAAACAATAGTTATACATAGTCATATCATGTCATATCACCATTATATCACCATTTTGTCACCATGTTTGTTGGTTAAACCAGCATATCATCCAACTATCTTTCAAATCCAACGAGCTAATTCAACAGATCCAACGATAGCAATCCACCAAGATCCTCCAAACTAGAGCTACTTCATCACCATAGACCCTAGTGGGGGAGCAAGCAATAACATTCATATCCCACTCATATCCCATGAAATTCCCATGAACTTCCATTGGAGATAACCACAAAAAGAATGGTATAATTTTATTGGGATATTTCATGGGCCAAAATCTTCCTAGAAGTAATGCTAGAGGAAATTTCTTTGGTGAATATCCCATGATCCACTAAAAACCAACTATAAATGTACTTATATCATGTTAAATATCCCCATCCCCCAACGAGAAAAACCAACAGATCCACCAACACTCAGATCCACAAAGAAGCTGACGAGTATTGACGAGTTTGTAGATAAGCAACAATTAAAGTCATATCACCAAATATTTCAATATCGGCATACTTTTGCTGAAAACACCATATCATCAAACTATCATCCACCATATCTATCGAAAATCCAAACCCAAACTGATAGTTGGTTTGTTGGATTTCCGTCATCAGTCATATCATCCAACTCTCTTCCAAATCCGGTTGGTGGTATACCTACCCCTCTGAACAATATGAGTTCGTCAGCTGGGATTATGACATTCCCAATATATGGAAAGTCATAACCCAGCCATGTTCCAGGTTTTGTTGGCTTTTTATCCCATTTCTTCATGATGAACTCCTGGTTTCTACGATACGAATTACATCGAATGTCAGTGATATCATCCAACTCTCCAAATCCAAAGAAGCTGAAGAGTTTGTAGATGATCACCTGCTCCATGACGTTCAGCTCCAGCTGCCCGGCCTCTGCGCCGAAGGCCACCGTGACGTCGTTGCCTCGGGTGACCCCAACGACAGCCGAAATGGCCGCTGGTCATGGGAGAATCAAAGGAAAAGGTCGGTTTTATATGGGAAAACTATGGAAAAACGTGGACAATCCTGGGACAATTGTGGGAAAATATGGGAACACCATCGGGAAAATATGGATTTATATGCGTGTTTTGTTTTTTCATGGGGATGTATGAAGAGAAAATGTGGTAAAATGGAATATTCATTGCATGTACCAATTGATATAATCCGTCAATGATGTGCAAATTGTTCCATTGATTTCTTTTTGGGTATATACAAAGGAAAGGATTGGTATATAAGCAATAGATGGGCATTGATCAAACATTGTCAAACTATTGTTGGGTGGGTCCAATCACAAAGCCGTCTGGGATAGTTAGAGCAATGTCGCAGAGCCATCGAAGTATCTTGAAGGCCCAGTAAGAACAAACCAAACTTATGATTTCCATAAAACCTGAAACTTGTAGTTGTATTATAAAGCCAAAATCTATCAACCCCCATTGGACACAATAACCATTTATCCAGTTTTCTTTTAATTATATAGGGTGACATATATTTTCCAGTTTAGGGTCCCCAGTATTGACCCTAAGTGACTCTAGTTGCAACCAGCACTCTGATATCTACCCTGAAGACAATCACCATGTCCATCACCAGCTTCCGCAGCATCATCTTTCAAATTCGTGGCTTTTGTTTGATTTATGTCGTCACTCTAGTTAAATCTTATCAGAGAATATATCTACAATGAATCCAACAGCTGTCCGAGCACTGTATAAGAATTCCTATAAGAAATTCAAGGGCTGGATTTGTTTCCCGCGCTGCCAAGGGGCCGATGGCTTCAAAGGCGCACATGTTCATGACTTCCTCGGGCAGGAATCTCAGTGGAACCAGAACAAGTTGCTATCATCCACAGGGTGCCACCCAGTTATGTTTGGTTTTTAATCTCTATGAACTATAGTTACTAGAGTTGCTAGAGTTACTATATATAGTTATCTCAGTTTTATTTCACAAAAACAACTTTCTGGTTGGTGGTTTTAACCCCTCTGAAAAATATTAGTCAGTTGGGACTATTATTCCATATATTATGGAAAGTCAAAAAAAAGTTTTGAAACCACCAGCCAGCTTTAGTTTATTGAAGTTTCAATGGATTGGTTTAAGGGAAAATTTACAGGAAAGCCCCATATTTAATTGGAAAATCTATGGTTTCCTGTAGATTTTCCCTTAAACCAATCCATTGAAAGTTATGCTCACGACTGACGGGCCCCATGTCACTACCAAACGCCCGCCCTGGATTCACGGCGAGTTTCAGGAATCACTGGATTCACCTTGGAACGGCGGCGGCAAGCGCGGATTCACCGTGAGGAAGGCACAAGCTCTGGTAACGTAAGGCCCATCACGATTGAACATGGCCAAAATGCCCATACAAATAGTTGATTTTGCTAAAATGAATATTGTTCCATAGCTTTCTTAGTTTACCAAAGGACATGTGATTCCGAGGAACATTCCTGGTAGACGGAGTCCTATTTTCTTTGAAATGGACTATTAGGTTTGAGATTTGAGATGATTTATGATTTAAGAGCTACATCTTTGGTGGCATTGCCAACTAACGAAGTGAACTCGGACAATAAAATTCCAATGGATGTGGGATACGAAGCAACGAAGATGGGATGTAGCCACAACCTCGAGAGACATATGTTCGTTAAATTTGAGATGAAGCTAATTCGAAGCAAACCATTCCTGCTTCGTCTGCTTCAAAAATCTTTGAAGATCTTTGAAGCCCTTTACAGACTACAGTAGTCATCATCATCATCCCAGGTAGGATGAAATATGGGGATCAAAACATCTGCCCAGAGGGATGAACATGGATGAACCACACTGAAAAATCGATTCCAATGGACCCAAAAAAATGAAGCAAAGCAGAGATCTTCGAAACGCAGAAATCAAGTCTTATGGGTGTAACTTAAAAAATACTTAGGAAACATAGATATGGAATATGAACCATGTTCGATCATGTTTTTCTTTCAATCATTGGAAAGCCATGTCAATTTTGGTACCCAATGAGTGCCCCCCAAAAATCCTCAGCAAGTCACCTTGCCAGGCATGATCGAAGAGCCAGGTGCCTGGCGCAAATTTAGCCAAGCGAAGGCTGGGATTTTTGTGGAACCAGACTTGCTATGAGCGGGGAGTTTGATAAACACGTGTATATAAAATATGTGTATATATATATGTAGTTATGTGCATATATGTAACTGTATATATATATATATATTGTTATGTGTACATATAAGATCAATTGTATTAAATAATATCAAGTACAACCTCTTAACGCGCCCAGTCTTTTTGCACTGGCCCTCCCATCAGCACTTGGCCCAGACCATAAATATACGCGACGAGCAACTAGTAGTACAATCTACTATTCATGAATAAACATGGATAAACTACATATATATGTGGTAAACAATATTGATACTACTATTTTTGTTGATACAAAGCTTATCACATGGTACAAGTGATACACAGTTTACTACATAAGTATGCATCTTTAGGCTCTCATCTGTACGGCTCTCTTTGAACATAAGATACCCATGGATACCCTGGGTACTGCAACATTTGATGCTTTATTACCATCTTCCCTCTTATATGAATTTGCAATGTTGATCCATTCATTAGCCATTTCCCACTAAATCATTCAAAATCTCATTACTCCACTTTCACTCGCTAAATCCACATGAAATTGGCATATATCATCATGTTTCATCATATATCTACGGGTTGATCATTAAATTCCTAATGACAAAAACCATAACTGCTGGGTACATCCTATAGTCATCCTATTCTCAGAGCAATTCTCCCCATAGCGTTCCCACCTTGGCTGGCAGATTGATCTCGCTCAAGCCACAGCGAGGACCGGAACTCAAGAGCCTCAAATCCTGGGGATCCAGCGCAGCTTTTTCAAGAGCTACGAAACAAATCTTTAGGTTTATGAAACATATTACTTTCATAAAATAAATAGTGAATAGAGTGGGTTTATGAACTTAAAAACACTGTGGGGTTTCATGAACGATATAGTGAATATAGTGGGCTTATGAACTTAAAACACTGTGGGGTTTCATGAAGGATATAGTGAATAGAGTGGGTTTATGAACTTAAAAACACTGTGGGGTTTCATGAACGATATAGTGAATATAGTGGGTTTATGAACTTAAAACACTGTGGGGTTTCATGAAGGATATAGTGAATAGAGTGGGTTTATGAACTTAAAAACATTGTGGGGTTTCATGAAAGATATAGTGAATAGAGTGGGTTTATGAACTTAAAAACACTGTGGGGTTTCATGAACGATATAGTGAATATAGTGGGTTTATGAACTTAAAAACACTGTGGGGTTTCATGACAGATATAGTGAATATAGTGGGTTTATGAACTCATAAACACTGTGGGGTTTCACGAAAGAGATAGTGAATATAGTGGGTTTATAAAATTATAAACACTGTGGGGTTTCATGAAAGATATAGTGAATATAGTGGGTTTATAAACGAACTTATAAACACTAAGGGGGTTCATGAAAGATATAGTGAATATAGTTGGTTTATAGACTAACTAATAAACATTGTGGGATTTCATGAAATATATAGTGAACATAGTGGGTTTATGAACCAACTTATAAACACTGTGGTGTTTCATGACAGATATAGTGAATATAGTGGGTTTATAAACGAACTTATAAACACTAAGGGGTTTCATGAGAGATACAGTGAATATAGTTGGTTTATAGACTAACTAATAAACACTGTGGGATTTCATGAAAGATATAGTGAACATAGTAGGTTTATGAACCAACTTATAAATACAGTCGGGTTTCATGAACGATATCGTGAATATAGTGGTTATGAACCAACTTAAAAACACTCTGGGGTTTCATGCAAGATATAGTGAATATAGTGGGTTTGTGAACCAACTTAAAAACACTGTGGGGCTTCATGAAAAATAGAGTGAATAAAGTGGGTTTATGAACCAACTTATAAACACTGTGGGGTTTCATGACAGATATAGTGAATAGAGTGGGTTCGTGAACCAACTTAAAAACACTATGGGGGTTCATGAAAGATATAGTGAATATAGTGGGTTTGTGAACTAACTTAAAAACACTGTGGGGTTTCATGAAAGATATAGTGAATAAAGTGGGTTTATGAACCAACTTATAAACACTGTGGGGTTTCATGAATGACATAGTGAATATAGTGGGTTTATGAAACAACTTATAAACACTGTGGGGGTTCATGAAAGAGATAGTAAATATAGTTGGTTTATAGACTAACTTATAAACACTCTGGGATTTCGTGAAAGATAGTAAACATAGTGGGTTTATGAACCAACTTATAAACACTGTGGGGTTTCATGAAAGATATAGTTAATATAGTGGTTTATGAACCAACTTATAAACACTGTGGGGGTTCATGAAAGATATAGTGAATATAGTGGGTTCGTGAACCAACTTAAAAACACTGTGGGGGTTCATGAAAGATATAGTGAATATAGTGGGTTTGTGAACCAACTTGTAAACACTGTGGGGGTTCATGAAAGATATAGTAAATATAGTGGCTTATGAACCAAATTAAAAACACTGTGGGGTTTCATGAAAGATATAGTGACTATAGTGGGTTTGTGATCCAACTTAAAAAACACTGTGGGGTTTCATGAACGATACAGTGAATATAGTGGTTTATGAACCAACTTATAAACACTGTGGGGGTTCATGAAAGAGATAGTGAATATAGCGGGTTTGTGAACCAACTTAAAAACACTGTGGGGTTTCATGAAAGAGATAGTGAATATAGCGGGTTTGTGATCCAACTTAAAAACACTGTGGGGTTTCATGAAAGATATACTGACTATAGTGGGTGTATGAACCAACTACTGTGGCCTTACCTTGTAGAATCGCAAAATTGCCTGGTTCAATGTGGATGTCAACTCCGCTGTGGAGACTCGTGGCGAATCTGCCAGGCTGTGCCGAGCATCGTTACATATCTTGGAGACCTGCGGCGAGGTGAATCAGCCATTCGGCTGTAGTTGTCATTTTCAGATACACCGATATGGCGTCGCTAGAAGCACATCGTATCCAAGAAATATACTGAGCATCATCTATAAGAAGAGGTATCGGTATCACCGTGATGATCCATCGGAAATCCTAAGAATCCGAAGCAATCCTATGATCAAAACAGGAGGTGAATTCGTCACGCCTTGGCAGCGATACGCCGGAGCATGCCAGAGAAGTAGATCATGTCCTTAAAGAAAGTGTCAAGAGTTTGTTTCATCGTGTCCGATAGAACATTGCAATATCCATGGGTTAATGATAATTATTGAAAATGGCCATTTACAGTTGATTTACCCATTAGAAATGGTGATTTTCCATAGTTATGTGTTAGTTTACCAGAGGGTATTTGGGATTTCATCATGAAACATGCGATACGATGGGATGCCGATACCATATCTTGGGGTTTCATGAACATCCAGCGAGAGCCAGCGAGGGATTTTTTCTTTCGTGAACCACATGGTACCAGGAATTTAAGATGCAAAAATTCGAATATGTTACTGATTGGTGGTTTCAACCATCTTGAAAAATATGAGTTCGTCAATGGGAAGGATGACATCCCCAGCATATTATGGAAAATAAAAAGCCATGTTCCAAATCACCAACCAGCTTAAAAATGCTGGAATAGAATATGGTTAGAACCAGGTATATTCTAACATATCCTCCTAACCAAAAACAAACACATGGTACCAGCTATTCTAACTTTATGGAAAATTCGTTAGAATTGTTAGAATATGTTAGAATAGCTGGGTAATAAAGCTATCTCAGGATGATTGTAATGGGCAAAAAAACGGTATGATATAACCAAATCTCTTCTGTGGTAAGGGCATCTCTGTACAGTTGATACGGCTATTCCATTTTTGGATAGTTATGATATGCTAAAATTATCCACAATATATTGAGAAATACAAGCCTCTCTATAGTCACCAATAATTTCTTTCAAACTGCTTACATCGATCAGGGGACTGTGTACCTAAATTCCTGAAATGGAGATGCCTAAAAAACATGCGGGGCCAGCACCAGGCGTATGTCATGGAATGCTCCCCCTTTATTTTTGGGGGTTTCCATAAGTCATGGGGGTACCCCAATAGCTGGATGGTTTATTTCATGGAAAATCCTATTAAGACACCCCCCCTATTGACTTTGATATGATGTTGTCTCGAGAATCGGTTGATGACAGGGTAAATCCCAATGATTCGTCATGACTTACTGGTGCTAAACGTAGGGAATGGATGGCAATGGGGGTTGCTGGGATCATGAAATTGATAGCTAGCCAGTGGATCATTCCAGAAAATTCCCTACTAAGCACCAGTAAGATGATGAATCGCTCAATTTTCACATCCAGCCATCTCCCCCCACCGTCTCGGCAAGTCGCTCCCACACTACTGGAGGCTTCGATCAAATCATCTGCCAGAATCATGGGGTGGCCCGTGACGGAGCGTAACTCCTGGGGCGAGTTGCAGGGCCGTTCGGGTTGCAGGTCAGGGTTGAAAAACGGGGATGTATAACCACATATATAACCACATATATAACCACATATAACCACCAAGAATTAAGCAGATGTTTGTAAAACTGACCTCAATGGGAAAATATCATAAAATATTTCCAAAAACTGTAAGAATGGTGATAAACCAACCTCAATGGGGAAAGAATGTTTTTTTCACAGGGAATATCTATCATGGAATTTGAGTCTTTTCCCAATGGAACGTTGATCATGTTGATCCCATTTATCCGATACGGTGTCATGACGGCTTGCGAATTGAAAGCCATGGCCAATTTATGGATGATTTATAGCTATTACTGTAAGCCTGGTGATTCTCCATAGTTCAGCTGAATTCTCAGAGGATAGAGGTTGTGTTCGGATCAAATCCGCAGTTTCGTTGCCTTTTTTTCAAAAATTCCACAGGAATAGAATTTGTGGCATGATTTGTTTTCAGCATAAGCCATAGCTGCCATAGCAGTTCCAGAATGTTCCACATGTCCAGTGGCAACTTTTTTTTACCCATCACGTCGGTTTCTCATACTTGTTGTGTTGGGGGGGCTGGATTAGCAGTTCCACTCTGAAGAATTCTTGGGCCTGCAAAATCCATCGAATGTTCTACTGCCTTGTGATTGAAGAGAAACACTAAAGGAAATGTTTGCTCAGCTCCTAATGGTTTCATCCCACACTCTGGTGACCATGGTGGCTGGTCGCTTGAGCTACACAGCCTGAAAGTCACTTGGGGTCATGGAACTTCCCAGGAGTGGAGTAACATTACATCATCATTACATGAATATCACCAATATGAATGGTTATATCACTCATATCCACTCAATTCATCTTCCATTCATATCTCATTCATATGCCATCACGATATCACCTTAAGAATAGACTATGAGTCAGACGATAGACTCATCTGATCTCAGAGGCAACAGCCACGACTAATTGTACCTTGATGTCTTACATACAAGATCATACAAGTGTGTATACATATATGGAGATGTTCCTAAAATAGGGCTACCCCAAATCCACCTATTTTTTTTTCCGATCACCTTCCATATTTTCATATGTTGGGTTTTTTTGTTGCTTTGTTTCCCAAAGATCTTCCATTTTTTTCGAATACTTTAAACCTGGTTGGTGACATACCTATTACCCCTCTGAAAAATGATGGAGTTCGTCAGTTGGGTTACTATTCCCAACTGAATGGGAAAAAATATATTGATTTTTTCAATATGTTTATCCCAACATATATATATAATTATATATAAGTGGTTGATTGATATATCCCAACATATATATATATAACATGTTCCACACCACCAACCAGGGATATATCAATCCACCGGGCTTTTCCCCATGGTGCGCCTGCACCGCCACCTGAGAGAAGTGGGGATCCGCCGCGATGCCGGTGCCGATGGCCGTGCCGCCCAGATTCGAGGTGCAGAACCTACGGTGGCTGATAGATGTACCATTGGTATCCATTGGTAAGGATATCATAAATGGATGATATATATGGTATAGCAACTATAGTAAGGATATTGGATAGTACCATTTATAGTAACTGATGATAGATGTACCATTTATAGTAACTGATAGATAGCCAGGGTGATATATTCTAAGATCAATTCTAAGTTGAGAGTTGAAGGTATAAATGGATGGTGACTTGATGGATCTTGATGGCATATGGGGATATGCCACTGATGAATACTGATTTATAGTGATCACCATTGGTAAGGATGATGAGTTCTGGTATACACGTAGATACCCAGAAATGGTGATTCCAAGTTGAGTATATAGTTGAGTTCTGGCCACTCATCGAACGGGACTATTGATGTTTAAATAAATTCCATCACCATAAATCCATAAATCCCAGCCTGCAACCATAAAGCAACTTGAATACCTATCACTTGGGGGACCATCAACTAGTAATTTGAAGTGCATGTGATTTGATGATGATTTCCCTAATGAAGATTGTGATTCAATGGAGAGATCGTGGTCTTTTTCATTATCCTATTACCCTACCCTTAAAGTAACCAATTTCGACGCAAATCGTGATGGTTAAGGGTCAGGAATAGGATACTCCAACGTTTTACAAGTTTGCCAATTTTGGTCATTTTTCGTGGCAAATTTCCTGTATCTGATTGGTGATTCAGCCACCCACACCTAGCTAGCGATGCCTAAGGAATTCAGATTCCGTCAGCGGATGTGAAGATTAGAGACATCCGGTAAGGGTCGGCGGAAAAGTCATTTTTTTTCATCAGGAATGTGACCTCTCTCTCCCTCTCTCCCTCTCTCCCTCTCTCTCTCTCTCTCTCCCTGCTTATGTGTAGATCAACACTTTCACGATATGTTTTTCCATTGCCAGCTCCGATTACCAAGGGTTTTCTAGGATGTCATATCTCCAGACACGGGCCCGTTGATTATCCATGCTTCATATATAGGGTTCGCCCAATAATATTCCAGAATTGAACCAATGAAGAAACCTCAAACTTTGCTGAAGTTCAAGAAACACTTTAAAGTCTTCAAACTTCAAAACCCCACCATTCCCCACCATTCGTTGTGTGGCACCTGTTGACCGCATTGCTCAGGGCATCAATATCGCTGGCCACCGAATTCCCGTAGGCATGGAATTCCTGCCCCAGGGTCCTCGGCATGACAGATACGACAGGCGGCACTGTTGATGTCGCACCTTACCTCCTTATTAAATAGGGGATATCTGACTAGTCTAGCTCCTTAGCTCCTTCTGACCACTGGATAGCTGAAAACTTGGAGTCGTTGGCCGTGGAACAATCTATCTGTATATTGTATATTGTTGTTCATTGAACACAATGATTTCGGAGGTTTTTGACCACTGAAACTTGGATTTCAACAGATTTCAATTTCTAATGATTTCAACATAAACAACAGAATAATGTTTACCAGGTGTTAGTAAAACCCTAAGGCCCTAAAGCATCTTCAAAGGAAATTGTGCCGCAGCCAATTTTGCTCTATCCGTCACTTTAAAGACCGACTCCCCCTCGGGGAGCCCAATAATCACAGGATTGTGCCATGCACCCCCCAAGTAAAAACTTTGGATAAACATCAATGGGTGCTCACTGTGTTTCACCATGATTATCACCAACAATCGCTCACACACATCTTCTCATTGGTACCTTCAATATAAATGACCAACCTTAGATTCCCCCAGCTACAGCCAAAGATTAGTTAGATTCGTTCGTACAAAAGCAACCATCAAAGGTCCCAAAGGTTGATGTTTGACGTAGTATCATGAGTATAACTGTAACATAGGGGTAACAACCAGCAGATCGCATCTACATCCTTTTGCCTTGAGAATGTCAGAATATATGTACGTATATATATATATATATAATTGTAAATATCATATATATATATATATATATAATTGTAAATATCGCCATATATATATATAGAGTTCCAGTCAGAAAATGTCAGAAACTATGACTTGTCAGGGGATGTTTTCACCGAGAAACATCGGGACGGCGTCTTGCAACTGGGTCCGGCCCATCTTCACCACATCGGCGAATTCCTCTGCCTTCTTGAAGAAACTCTTGCCTCAGCGGCTGGCAGAAATTGCTATCTAGTCCTAAAAACATCCCCCCAAAAAAAAATCGATAGCATGATGTGTAGATCAACATCGGGCTTTTTCAGGGCATTGATAGATTGAAGAAAGTTGAGAGACATACTCACCATTAATCATTAATCATTATTAACCAGTATTAACCATGCATTCTCAACCATTGTTAACCATTAACACAACGTAAAAAAACAATCCAACTCTCCAACTCACATCCACCAGGACCCCAGCAGCCAGCACCTTATCGCCTCGCGGCTCAAGAGCTTGATGGCGTTCAGCAGCTCCGAATGCATCAGGATACAGGCCAACTTCGCAGAGGTGGGATAGGAATCATTCGTCGATTGCCCTGACGTGGCATGGCCGTGGCATGGCGGTGAAATCTGAGAGTTTAAGTGATGAAAGATGGAAGGTGGATTGAGAAATGTATTTTATGATATACATCCAAATTATAAGGGAAATTCCAAAAGGAATTGATATACTATATTTATGAATTATGAATGATGTTTTTTTTGACTCTTTGGATACTTTGGCACTTCCCTTTTGGTTTCCAAAAAACACTGTCCAGGTACAGCTTCCGGTGGCGAACAAACCCGGCTGGGTATGGCAAAATTCATCAATCCAAAATTGTCTGGTGCGTTTACAACAAACCCATGTGCTCCATCTGTGGAATATTTACCTACATTTGGGCAATGAATAACTGCGTCATCTTGCGACTAAATGTTAGTTTTTTTATTCGACACATGTAGCGTTAGGGAAATTAGCTAGTTCAATCCCCATCCTTTTTCGCCATACGCAATGGCTCAAACTTGAACAAAGGGGATGTAAACAAACAACAAAAACGCTTCACTATCATCACTTGGTGCCTAATCGTTCGTTTCCGTCCACTTAAACAGTGAATCTGAAGCATTTTGCACCTATCAACGGAACCTAAAAACACTTGGTACCTATATAATTACAACATGTCTTTTTCACTTGGAACCTAATCATCTAGCCGTTGTGGCTTGTACATCTTCGTGCCCGAAAAAGGGGCCTTTGTTGACGTCGTCGTTGGGGCTGCAAAACCTGACGTGACGACGGGATTTTTACATGGGATTTGATACAACACGGATATATTTACAATATATAAATATTAGTATTAATCACTGTTGGATATAATCATAAAATGGGTATTATAATTGGATATAACTGGATAACAGGGATAAATATACCATAGGGTTACTAGTATTAATGGGATAGAATTGGAATATAAGGGATATATAAGGGATATAAAGATGTAATGGGAATCTAAGAATGGAATAGTAAGACAAACCATTCCCAAAGTTACCATCTATATTGGGATTTAGCCTCTGGAGCTTCTAATGTTTGCCTTTCTTGGGGATACCCTCCAGTGGCAATGGGAGATTCCCGAACAAATAGAGGTTTATACTAGTAGGTGGGAAAATCATCTGCAAATAGAGATTTTCCAGCAAACCGTGTTTGATAACACTGGAGGCTAATGAGATTTAATGGGGTCAATATCCAATATATATACACATATATAATTTATTATAATTGTGAGATAAGCAAAACATGGAATAGACAACCATCAATAGTGATTCAACCAAATTTATCCTAGCATCAATTAACATATCAAAAATGAATATTACTAAGGTATATTCGGATAAATCAATTGGGATATCTCAGTTTATCCTAGTAATATTCCCATCATGGATCATGGAGATTGAATGGTGTAAAGTTGCTAGGATAATCCCTGAGAAAGGTGCCCCCCAGCCTCACTGGCTGGCTGGGTGGGTTTTTCATTGGATTTTTGACGATGATCCACGGCATTCAGCAAGGATCCAAACGTAGGATCCAAAGGTTTGTAGCCATACTGTACTTCCAGAACAAGAACAAGAACAAGAACAAAAGGAACAAGAACAAGAACAAGAACAACAACAAGAACAAGAACAACAACAACAACAACAGCAGCAACAACAGCAGCAACAGCAACAACAGCAACAACAGCAACAGCAACAGCAACAACAACAACTAGAAGAACAGGAACAAGAACAAGAACAAAAACAAGAAAAGCAATAACAGCAATAACGGCACCACCACCAACAGCAACACCAGCAGCAAGAAGAAGAGCAAGAGCAACAGCAAGAGCAACAGGAAGAGCAACAGCCGTTTTGGAGTATGGGTAAATCGGTAAATCACCATTTTTAGGCTAACCTATGAAACCTATGTCCCAACCATTCCCAATCTATGCGTATCCCGCTTGGTCTGGTGGCCAAGGGGCTCATACTGGCCCTTCTCATGGCCCAATAACTCCAGCGCACGGTTCGCAATGACCTACCATGGAACCGTGGAGTCTGCACGAATGGAGGATGGAAACCAATAAACATGGGGATTGAACCTTCATGACATTTGGAATTCAACCAACCAAAGGTCCAATCAAACCAACGAACATGGGAAATTCTTCAACAATAAAACTTGGAATAACAACCATCGGTGATTTTGAATTTCACCAACAAGAAAACCAGCGAAAATAACCAATGAAAATAGGCTACCAACGAGAAAGAGCTCATACAACTAAACAGGAGAACCTGGCAATGAATATGGCGATTTTACAAACGGAAATGGAGAACTGGGATGGCTTTGTTGTCATGATCGGATGTCCCCTAAACAGGAAGGCATCTGAACTGAAACAGAAGCAACAAAAAACAAAGTGATGTTAACCCCGGTTAATTGGGGCATACCCCGAAAAGAGATGAAAAGTGATGATTCTGCCACTTCAATGGAAAGCCAAATGTCACTTCGCCTGGAGGTTACTTAAGGAGGATCCCCACCGTTTTGTCGTAGGATGTAACGGGTGGATTATCCCATTTAGCCTCCAGTAACGTACCATCTATATATCTATATATATATATGATATACCCAAAAAAACATGCTATGATTTTATGCTATGTATCATAACATATATAACAACTATGGATTCTATTGTGATTCTCCAGTTCGCGAAGTGATGCGAACTGTTCGTTTACTGGCCTCATTGGCGTTCATGTTGGTTGAAGTCCCTGCCCCACCTACCGAGCCAAACGCCAACGCAACGGGGGGTGAAGGGAATGGCCATGGAGTTACAACAACCAATCCATGAATCCACCAGTCATAGAGATTGATTTTATGGAAAGTCATTTTTCGAAAATCAGTTTTTGAGAATCTCTATGGGAATGGGAATGGGATGATTCTATAGAGATTGTCCTAGGAAGTATATAAATGGATCTTATTTGTGATCCAACTCTCTAGTTTGCCTGATTCTATGTCAATGTCAAATAAATTTCAAGACGTGTGACAGAATCAGATTAGGTTGTAAACAACCTCCGCTCATCAACCATTTCCTTCTAAAGTTCACTCCAGAATGAAAACATATCTGTGGGAAATATGAGTTCCTTCAGTTCCTGCTATTAATTCCAACTGAAGAGTGCCCCAAAATTGGGCATTCAAACCTTGCAAATCATGCAATGCACCTTGAATCATGTCCACCAGGAAATTCTCACGCATCCTGAGCGAGCGTAACAGCCCTGATCCCACCCTGCCACCTGAATGGTCCGTCTTGTTCATGTCGGTTTGTTTCAAGCGGGCTACTCCCAAATCATCCCAATTTCATGAATTTCAGTGGTAAAAGACAGTAGAAAAATGGTACTCCCATTTCAAAACATCAATAGAACCCTATTCCGTCATGGCGATGGTGATCATACAGTGATATGTGATGCAAATGAATTTTAAGGCGCACCTGGAATGCAAAAAGGTCCCCTGAGTTGCAGTAACTACTTGTGATTACACCCAACAGTTTTGGGGCACCACCTCTCAGTGACCTTGACTATCCTTGACTTATATCCCCACAAAATAACTCCATAATTGTTGGTTAAGTCCCCCTATCCTTCCCAAGTATTTTCAGCCATTATTGCTACCCTCTGCTAATTTAATGTAGCTATGGAACATCAACATGTTTGATAGGTAATCATCATAAATCATACTGATTCATCTATAAATGGAGCAAGTTTCATAGCACACCGTTATATAAATATCCACTATAGTCCTATTTGTCCCACTCAACAAACTCATCTTATCCCATCAACGCACCATTTTAGGTGTCCTATTCTATCCCAATTATCTCGTGGTTAAATCGCTGAATGGTTAGCTGGTGAAAGTAGATTCCCATGTATAGATACACTCTGGTTATAGAAAACATAGCTATGGAAAATGAACCATTTAAAATAGACTATTTATGATGGTTTGGCTATTACTAATGGTGCTTTTTTTTCCATAGCTATGTTAAATAACCAGAGGGTAACAGTTACCATATATGAATGGTTAATAATCAGAACAATTCATCCATTGTTTGAATAGTAATAGTGCTATGTTACATACCCTCTGGTAAACTAACATAACTATTGAAACTTGCCATAGAAATAGTGGTATTAGCCAGCTAGAAAATGGTGGATCTTTCCATTATTTTTTGTATGTTTACCAGAGGGTATATCATGATATATCTGGTGGTTATAAACCTACTTGTGACTCAACAAGCCCCTGCCTGCAGGGTAACCAGAGAGAGTCATATCCTGTAAACATCCCACGTTTTTGGCCCAGAATCTCCACGCCCTTGCTGTGTGCATCCAAACGTGGGTCGATCAGCTCATCACAGGCACGGCAGATGGCCTCAGGGACGAACAAATGCGCAACATATACCACAGACAAAATCCACATTATATATATATATAGTATATATATATATATAATATGTATATATATATATATATAGTGTGTATATATATATATACCATTAATATATACATATACTATACAGATATATCATAGAATCATAGAGATCATCAGTCCGTATATAATGTCAATCTATGTATAATACACTATCATGATATATTCTAATAGAATTATCATGCATCTAGAATCTATGATAATCAATGTATGTGTAGGAAACATCCGAGAAACACCTGGACCATCTCCGGCCTCTTTCTTCTTGACCTCGAGCAAGCCCAACTTGTAGTTGGCATTGGCGCAAGCCTTCCTCTGGCGACCACGGGTCGATGACTGGTGACTGGTGTCATGGTGATTTCATGGTGATTTCATGGGGGAAAATATGGGAAAATACCACATTTTTGGTGATTTAATGGCGATTTAATGATCATTTAATGGTGATTGAATGGGGACATAACGCCAACATCATATGATTGGATAATACAAAGAGAGTTTTGAAATTGAGGACCCCAGATTATCATCCGAAAATTGTGTTTTTGTCTAACTATTTCAATCCAAAAACATGTGGTATTTTGGACGTATTTTGGGGTCCCCCACTTTAAGAATCTTCCATATGGAGACATAGGAACTTCGGATCAAGGATGCAAGCAAGAAACATGGGGAGCAACAAAGATGGTGCTCTAAGCAGAACTGAGTAGTTCCAAAAACGGCGATCATCGAACGTGTATCCAAATGGAGGTTTCCTAAAATGGGGGCACCCATAAATCATCCAAATTAGGCAATTTTAGTATTGAAATTGAAACCCATGCTTTTGGGTATACTCCATTTTCAGAAGCCCCCAAATGGGCCAAGTCTAGCATAGGGACAAAAAATAGATGCAGTATCATTCATTTCTTCAATCACACTCCAGTCACACAGGAAGGGCTCCTTTAATTGGTCTAGATGGGTGAGCTAGTGTCGAACTAGGCCAACAGGGATTTATAATAGATATGATATAAGGATATATATATATATATAAAATAGTAATTCACTAATCTAAATTGAGAATTTGGGGATATCCTTTTAACCATCATTCGAGTGACGTCGCAGGGGTTATCTAGATGGATATATCATGATATATGTGGTGGTTAAAAACCTACTTGTGACTCACCAAGCCCCTGCCTGCAGGATTGTAACTAAATGTCCCTGTATTTTTCATCGTTGTTCAGATTCCCATGATATCCTCATTTAATCCACCATGATTCCCAGGTTTCCCCAATTCTTTTGGGTAAATATCCAATACCTGTTGGTTAAATCGTGTTAAATCCATCAATATTTATATATATATATGTGGTCCACGGTCAATATTTAGTATATACCAGTAGCTCCAAGTCATCAATTTTTGAAGAGTGTATTATCGTTTTTCAGGTTTTGGGAGTATAGTAAATGGTATCGTTTTTTGAAGAGTGTAATATCGTTTTCCAAGCCCCAGCTCGATTTCCAAAAATAAAGATGTCTCGAATACTACTTTCCATTACGCTAAATTTTAGCTGTAGCTCATGTGTATATATAAATATAATTATATATTTATAAATTAATGTCCGTTCTTGTTAAATCCACCGTAAAGGTTGACTTAACTACGCATCCAGTTGGTGTCCCAGCTGTCTCAAGATTCTTCACCATGGCAAACGCCACAATGAACTCCGGGAAATTCCGCAAGCGGATGCCTTAGACGAAATGCCCAAAATGCACATGTTGAAATTGTTTATGTGTCGTGTCCAGTCCTGCAAATTCACTCTTGTCATTGCCTCATGTAATTTTCGAGACAATTGACAACTGCGCATCCCATACCAGCCATATGGTGTGCTTACTTCCATTGAAAACCCAAATGACCCGTAAGTTTCGTAAACTACCAACATCATGGGATTTCAACCATGCCCCCATCCAATCATGGGGGCTATGCTTATAGGGTTTATCAACCCAGCAAACACAACGATAACATCTGGGGCTTCACGGTTTCGGTGGTTGGTAGGTAGGCCCATGGCTGCCAAAATGACTCAAGCCCCATACCCATTCCTCATAAGATCCCCATTGAATTGGCAAAATCCGCAATGTGGTGCCCTAGTTTGTGCGCTAATTGGTTTACAATTTCAAGTCACTGTTGGATTTATCGTGGATCCATCTATCTCATCTAATTGATTAATTAATTAATCTAATGCAATCTAATATAATCTAATCTAATCTACCCTAATCAAACCTAATCAAACCCATTCAAACCTAATCTAACTTAATCTAGCTATCTATAGCTATCTATAGCTATCTATAGCTATCTATAGCTATCTATAGCTATCTATAGCTATCTATAGCTATCTATAGCTATCTATAGCTATTATAGCTATCTATAGCTATCTATAGCTATCTATAGCTATCTATAGCTATCTATAGCTATCTATAGCTATCTATAGCTATCTATAGCTATCTATAGCTATCTATAGCTATATAGCTATCTATAGCTATCTATAGCTATCTATAGCTATCTCTATCTATCTCTATCTATCTCTATCTATCTCTATCTATCTCTATCTATCTCTATCTCTATCTATCTCTATCTCTATCTATCTCTATCTATCTCTATCTATCTCTATCTCTATCTATCTCTATCTATCTCTATCTATCTCTATCTCTATCTCTATCTATATCTCTATCTATCTATCTATCTATCTATAATTCATGGAGGTAATAAACCAGGCCGAACTTAGGGGCCACCTTTTTGCCCAGCTACCCGTAATGTTGTAGCATTCCAATGCCCGCATGGTTTGGATTCCTGAGATGGCGAGTCCGGGTCCCTTCCCAGTGTTCAATGAAGTTGGCAAGCAGCAAATTTGTTACTCTCTGATAAACTAACATAACTATCAAAAATCACCATTTTAAATGGGTAAATCAACTATTTCTATGGCCATTTTCAATAGCTACGTTAAATTACCAGAGTGTAGTGATTGCATCACATCAACCACAAAATTATCTCAACGTTTCTGCGAAATAGATAATGTGATGTGGCTCCGAACATGTGTTGCCCCATTCCATCCAGTGCCAAACATCATGCTTTTCCCATCCAAAATGTGGGTTTCCATAGTCCTGGGGGTACCCCCAAATCATCATCCATCCAGCCGGGCTACCCAAAAATGACTATTAATAAAAAACCTATTCCGTCATCCATATATTCCCATATTTACACGTAGATTATAAGTATGAGAAGATGGATTAATATATGGAATATAGAATTTATAATATAGAATAAATGGAATGAAGATATGAGTATTCCCATATTCATCCAGATTATAGTATATACAATATCATAGTGGTTGGTGGTTGAGCCTACCCCTCTGAAAAATATGAGTTCGTCAGTTGGGAGTATGACATTCCCAATATATGGAAAGTCATAAAAGCCATGTTCCAAACCACCAATCAGTATTGCAATATCTATGGGTTAATTATAATTATTGAACATAGCCATTTATAGTTGATTTACCCATTAAAAATTGTGATTTTCCCACTTATAGATGATTTTCCATGGCTATGTTAAATAACCAAAGGGTAATCGTATTCCTTATCTTCCCATAGATTCTTGTAGCTCAGCTGCCGTAGTAGGCCGTCTTTGGCACCTCCTGTGGCTTTGAGAGAAAAACAAAATCACCGAACCAACAGGCCCTGGGGCCCTGAAACAAAACCATAGGAAAACCATGGGGAAATGATGATTTAATGGGACATATAGCTGTTTTATTGGGAATTATAGCTGATTTAATGGGAATTATAGCTGATTTAATGATTTAATGGGAATTATAATTTATTTGATGGGAATTGCAGCTGAGAGTCTACAGTTATGAGCCGATAAATGCCAGTTATTTTATGGGCTTAACTTCATGACATGTAACCAAATAGTTAAATAGTTTTAGGAGTCATTTCATTCCATTTATTAACCAGTGGTCGGGCCATAAATGTATGATACTATAATATGTGTGTATGTGTATGTATATATATATATATATAACAAATAAATGAGATAATGGAATATGAATATGAATGGAATATCAAACCCTCTATGATATGAGAAATAAATCAGATCATTAAATATTCATGGCATATTAATGAAAGTAAATAATTAATGTGGTAAACCCAATGCCGTAAATCTACAATTTGGAATATCTAATGGACATATCAATGGAATCTGAATATTCAGAACATTCATGGGAATATGAATGAGACATGAATAGAATATTGGTTAATACCCTCCGGTAATCAAAGCTGGCTAGATGGGAAATCGACTATAAATAAGGACTTATAGCTAGGAAAATCATCTAGTCGATTTTCCAGCAAACTATGTTTGATTGCTGAAGGGTAAATTAGATAAACATCACCATCACCATAAATGGATTGATGTATTGCTATATATATATATATATCTTGTCAATATGTATATATATATTTAATACAATCATATCAAAATATTGAGAATATAATGCTGTATTAACCCTCTTTAAATGGTAATATTTTATGGGATGCTTCATGAAAGATGAATGGTTTTTGTACAGTAGCTGGTTTATGGGAATTCATTTCAAAAAACTTTCTTATGCAGGATCACCCCACGAATCGTAAGTGGTCAGCAAACGAGGTGATTGACCCACCTATCCATGGGATAACCAGACTGCACTTCCAACTGTTGGGTAACTGATTTGGCTGAGTTGGGAGAGGTCAAGTACCACCAATTTCTCTCCCTTGCTTGTGGCTATCATGTACCTGTAATAGATTACGGAGCAACCCATAATTCGCGCATGCCAAAGGTGACATTAACTGGGCCCTATGGCTGCACAATGGGCGCTGATGGCTCCAAACATCTCCCCACAAATGAAGAAACATGAGTTTTTCTCGGTGGACATGATTGGGAACATGTCTTGATCTTGAAACCTCATGTGTATCTCTACAACTGCTCCAATCCATACCCATACCATCTACATGTTAGCAGTTTATGTCGCATTTTCCTTCTTGCATGAGGCAAGTTGCGTATGCCGAACCCATTGATGTATGTATATATATATTACATACTGTATATACACACACACACACGCTCAACGCCTGGGCTTTGCCCCAGCGTTGCAGCGTAGAGGGTTCCCATTCCCAAATGTTGTTGCAACTTTACATTCCATTGGGAAGATCAACAAAGGCTTTCTCCTTGGAGCCCAACAAGTCCTTCTCCAAGCGAGTGCCTGGCGCAACGGGGATGGGGATCGACTCAACGATACGGTGATGATCTGGTGATTACTGTAAATGCATTTTTGTTAGGGCCTGTTGGAGGGATTGTTCAAGGTTTGTTTGATGTGTTTTTTTAAAGGTTTTTTCATGGTCTTTGCCATCTAAGGGTTTCCTGCATGTCCATGAAGCAAATCTAACTACTATTCCGGAAGATCAGGGGGAAAATTGGGAAATATATGGAAATGCTGAGTTGTATGTTGTAGATGGGAAATGGAACATAGCAATGGAGATATTTACAGTTCGTAAATGCATATATTATTATCTTAATTGAACACATAAAGAAACAAGTATGATAATGGGGATACATAGTTATGATATCATAGGTAATGACAATATGCATCTATAGTTTGATAATTGGTATATATTTCTCTATACTAACCCATCATACATATCACTTCCTCATTGATATTGATCATACCTATATATATATATATGTACATACATAATTATAGAGATATAATGGGGAGATGATACAATATCTATGGGGGATTTTAATCGTTTGTGCTTATATACTTGTCATTCCATAGTATCTTCATTCATCCCTATTACGTACTTGTAAACATTGGACATTACTTGAGTAATTCAACGAACTACTATTACTTGACTCTAGTGTTTGTTTTTGTTTCAGTACTTAATCTTGATTTATCCATGCTTCTGGTAGCTAATGGTGATGATAATGGTAATGAATGGCAATTTTTTCGAACAGGGGATACATAAACTTATGGATTACTAGTTGGAGATAGTTGGAGTTCATTGTATGTATTGATTCAATCGTGGGATCAATCGTGAGGGATGTAACAGGGATACAACGGGATAACCCCTGCCGGATGATCGGACGATGCGTAAACAAATGATGGCTATAGATACATAATATATAGAAACTAAATATCTAGAACTTGTTTATTTATTTATATAATCATAATATATATATATATATATTATACATATAATACTATATTTCCTTCGTATCCCCATCTCTCAGGCTGGCTCCAAACACCCCAGATACACGGGAAGAAAACTGGGTAGATAAGATGAAAGCACACGGGAAACGGCTGCCCTGATCCTACAGCAGGCCATTCCATTGTTGAGTTGCCCAACGGCTTTAACTCCGAATAATTTGGTGAATTCATGCTACATATCCATGTTTCTGTTGATTATTGCTTTTTCTATTTATCTCCATTTATATCGACAAATAGAGTATATGTATGCTGTACATCTACATCCATGTATATCATATCCATATATTTTGTATATCCATTTACATCCACTAATTACTTCATCTAAAACATGTGCTAAAACACATCTCCCACATCTCCGCCCTGGCCATACCTGGCCTGAATCCAGGTCAACCACTGAGGGCATTGAGACCATGGGACTGAAGGCGTCATCGAAGCTTCCACGACGATCCCGCATCCCGCGCAACGGCAGCAACACGGCACTCCCAACTGATGGGAGACCGGGGGAGACTGGGGTCGGAGAAGGGGCACAAAAATGCTGAGATGGTGGAATGATTGGAGTTTTGAAGTCTGATATACGTCTGATGATAGGCTGATTGTGCTCTCTTTTTCATAGCTGTCATACAAAGTGCGAGCAGTGCATCTGGGCCACAACTTGGCGGCAGCTGGCGACCTGCCTTGCATTGCTTAGTACTCACAACCTGGATGAAAAATCTAGGACGAAGCAGATTCAAATTCCCTCACTGTTTTGCTTGCAGGCCCACTTTCACAGGGACTTCCACTCGGACATGTTCAGACCCCTGCCTCTCCACCATGCAGCAGTGCTTGTAGATCCCACCTGAAGTCAGACCAAAGTGGGACCCCTCCGCAGGAAGACTATGCTTGGACCCTCCAAGTACCTATAGAATTGGTACAATTAGCGAAATACTAGGTAAAATGTTATATCAATTTCTTACTCAGCGTGTGTCCCTGCCAAAAAAAGGTTAATTATTTTTTGGTGTTGGGTTCGCGCACCAATTTGGGGTATAGAGTTTCACGCGCGAACCCAATGACCAAAAACATTGAAAGTGTAGTCACGTGCTGATTTAGAATTTATATAAATGTAGAATGTATATATATATATATATGTGTGGTTACTTGGAGGGTCTAGGTGTACAAATGACGGTTTCTCCATGTCCAGGCTTCTAATTGCATGGCTAGTGGACACTAGCCGCATCCGCTTTGAACATATGGAGGAAATTCAAACAACCCCGCCTTCTCGACGTAGATCATTTGAAACTTGGAGTGCTTGAAGTAGTAGCTCAGCAGCCATTTAGCATCCTCTGATCTGAGAGAGCAGCAGGAGCAAAGCGTGTCGCTCCGCATGCCAGAGGCGTTCATGTTCCACCTTGGCTCTTCCAAAGGGATTAACCAAAAACGTCACAACACAAACTGGAACATCCCCAACGTAGAATATGCCTTCCAAAATCATGCAAAATCACAATCTATCAAAATCATTCAAAAACCATACCTGTTTTGTTTCATTGATCTAAGTATAGCTTAAATATCTAGACGCGCAATCATCACAGGCGAACGGCAAGGGAAGACATACGCCATCAGCAATATGCATGTTACATATTTACATAATATACAATATTATACAATATCTTGATTATTATCACGACTACTATGCAAGTGATAATGATAATGATACCAGAAAGCTGCTACCATTCGTAATATTGTATATATATATAACTTAACATTATCCATAATGTCATTATTTTTTATTAGCAATATGAGCTAACATTATTAGTACTATTATACGTATATATATATATGTGGCAGGGACCTTTTGGTATAATGCGACCGGCCTCCTTTCTGATCTTATCCAGTGGTTGTAGCTCTTTTCCTTCCTCTTCCTTTTCTTTCCTTACTTGTTCATCTATGCTTTCCCAGTGCTTTCTTCACCCTCATTACAGTTGTTATCTCTGGGTGCTTTTGGGACCCAAGATTCTCCTTGCCTCCCATGTGTTCCAATTTGTGTCCTTATTCAGCCAATTTGTTCTCCCTTTTCTTACTCCATTTTACTTTCCTACTCATTCTACTCTCTCCGTTGCTGTTTCTGTCTAGGCTTTAGAACCTTCAAGTGCTTTGGGGCCATAAACATTATCGAGTCCATCATCCGGGTCACCAGCATTTTGGGACGGAGAGGATAGTTTTTCTCCTCTTTCCTTTCTTTCCTTACTTGTTCCTCTAGTTTTTCCCAATGCTTTCTTCGCTTCTCTCCTCATTAATTACTGTTGTCCTCTCTGGGTGCTTTTGGACCCTCGACTCCTGATTCTTCTCGTCTCCCATTTGTGTCCGTGTTTGTTCCCCTTGTTCTCTCCAAGTTGTATCCTTCATTTCCTTCCCATTGCCATTCTTCTACCAGGCTGCTTTGGGAAGAATGGATTTCCTGGTCTTTGTTTCTCCCTACTTGCCTTCCTTTGTGGAAGTCTGCGTGCTTTGGGACGAAACCATACGAAACCCATTATCCGTTACTCCGTTACATTCCCTTACCCTGGGTCCCTACCATATGTTACCCTACTTGCCTTTCTACTAGTCCCCAACTTGTCTCCTTATCATCTCTCCACTACCGTGCTTCTTTCCAGGTCTCCAGCATTTGGACGGAGAAGAGAGCTTTTATCCTCTTTCCTTTCTTTCATTACTTGTTGCTCTAGTCTTTCCCACTGCCTTCTTCACTTCTCTCCTCACTACCGTTGTTCTCTTTAGGTGCTTTTGGGACCCAAGATTCTCCTTGTCTCCCACGTGTGTCTAGGCTTTAGGACCTCTAGGTGCTTTGGGGCAATAAACATTCCCGAGTCCTTCATTTGTGTTGCAGTCCTCCTCTCTCCATTCCTTTTGTCCATCCCTGTTACTGTTCTTCTTCCTGGATGCTTCTGGGCACAGGATACTCTTCGTCTCTTCGTCTCCCATTTGTTTCCGTGTTCGTTCCCCTTGTTGTCTCCACCTGTTTCCGTGCTTGTCTCCCGTGTTGGCTCCTACTCCCTGCCTGAGTTCTGTTTCTCTGGGTGCTTGATGGCAGCGGATTCTTCTTGTCTGTCATTTGTTTCCATGCTTAGCTGCTTGTCTCCTTGTTTGTTCTACTACTCCCCCCCCCGCGCTCAGTGTTCTTTGTTTTGGTTGCTTTGGGGACAGGACTCTCCTTGTGTCCCATCTGTTTCTGCGCCCGTCTCTCTGCTTGTTCTCAACTTGTTTTGACACTTCTTTCTTCGTTGCTGTTGTTCTCTCTGGGTGCTTCCGGCGCACAGGATGCTCATCGGATGCTCCTTGTCCATTGTCTGTTTCCGTACTTGTCGTCCTTGTTGTCTCCATTTCGTGCCCTTCTTTCTTTCTTTCTTTCTTTCTGTCTGTCTTTCTTTCTTTCTGTCTTTCTTTTTTCTTTCTTTCTTTCTTTCTTTCTTTCTCTCTCTCTCTCTCTCTCTTGCTGTTCTTCTTTCTAGGTGCTTGTTGGGACCCCTGATTCTTCTCGTCTGCCATCTGTTTCCGTACGTGTCTTCCTTGTTCTCTCCAAGTCTTATACTTGTCTCCCTTGTTCTCTCCAAGTTGTATCCTTAATTCCCTCCCCATTGCTATTCTTCTTTTAGGCTGCTTTGGGAAGAATGTTTCTCCCTACTTGTCTTCCTTCGTATAAGTCTCCTTGCTTGTCTCTCAATTGCTGTGCTTGTCTCTGTGTGCTTTGGGACGAAACCTATTATCCGTTACATTCCCTTACTGTACCCTCGGTTACTACCACATGTTACCCTACTTGCCTTCCTACTTGTTTCCAACTTATCTCCTTATCATCTCTCCACTACCGTGCTTCTTTCCGGGTCTGCAGCATGTGGCACGGAGAGCAAGGTTTCTTTCCTCTTCCCTTTCTTTCCTTACTTGTTCATCTATTCTTTCTCAGTGCTTTCTTCACCCTCATTACAGTTGTTATCTCTGGGTGCTTTTGGGACCCAAGATTCTCCTTGCCTCCCATGTGTTCCAATTTGTGTCCTTATTCAGCCAATTTGTTCTCCCTTTTCTTACTCCATTTTACTTTCCTACTCATTCTACTCTCTCTGTTGCTGTTTCTGTCTAGGCTTTAGAACCTTCAGGTGCTTTGGGGCGATAAACATTACCGAGTCCATCATTTATGTCCCTTCCGTCACCTTGTTGCAGTGCTCCTCTTTCCATTCCTTGTTGTCCCTCCCTGTTACTGTTATTCTTCCTGGGTGCTTCTGGGCACAGGATACTCTTCGTGGTGCTCGATGGCAAAGGATTCTTCTTGCCTCCCATTTGTTTCATACTTGTCTCCTTGTCTGTTCCCAACTTGTTTCTTTATTTTTCTATCTCCATTGCGATTCTTCTCTCCGGGTGAATTTGGTCAAAGGAATCTCCTCGTCTCCCGTTCCTCTCTCTCCATTGCTCAGTGTTCTTCGTTCTGGTGGCTTTGGGGACAGGACTCAAGTCTCATCTGTTTTCGTACTCGTCTCTCTACTTCACTCTCACATGTGGCTGTTCTCTCTGGGTGCTTCCGGGGGACAATATGCTCCTTGTCCTCTGTCTGTCTCCGTGCTTATCCCCCTTGTTCTCTCCAACTCGTGCCCTTACTTCTATCTTTCTCTCTCTCTCTCTCTCTCTCGCTGTTCTTCTCTCTAGGTGCTTATTTGGACACATGATTCTCTTCGTCTCCCATCTGTTTGCGTACTTGTCTCCCTTGTTCTCTCCAAGTTGTATCCTTAATTGCCTCCCCCTTGCTATTCTTCTCATTTCTTCTCTTAGGCTGCTTTCTGTACTTGTCTCTTAATTGCTGTGCTTGTCTCTGCGTGCTTTGGGACGAAACCTATTATCCGTTACATTCCCTTACCCTCGGTCACTACCACATGTTACCCTACTTGACTTCCTACTTGTCCCCAACTTGTCTCCTTATCATCTCTCCACTACCGTGCTTCTTTCCGGGTCACCAGCATTTTGGGACGGAGAGGAGAGTTTTTCTCCTCTTTCCGTACTTGTTCCTCTAGTTTTTCCCAATGCTTTCTTCGCTTCTCTCCTCATTAGTTACTGTTGTTCTCTCTGGGTGCTTTTGGACCCTGGACTCCTGAGTCTTCTCGTCTCCCATTTGTGTCCGTGTTTGTTCCCCTTGTTCTCTCCAAGTTGTATCCTTCATTCCCTTCCCATTGCCATTCTTCTACCAGGCTGCTTTGGGAAGAATGGATTTCCTGGTCTTTGTTTCTCCCTACTTGCCTTCCTTTGTGGAAGTCTGTGATTTGGGACGAAACCATACGAAACCCATTATCCGTTACTCCGTTACATTCCCTTACCCTGGGTCCCTACCATATGTTACCCTACTTGCCTTTCTACTAGTCCCCAACTTGTCTCGGGATCATCTCTCCACTACCGTGCTTCTTTCCAGGTCTCCAGCATTTGGGACGGAGAAGAGAGCTTTTATCCTCTTTCCTTTCTTTCATTACTTGTCGCCCTAGTCTTTCCCATTGCCTTCTTCACTTC